TTTCTCGCATAGCAGACTCGAGATTCATACTGTTTGCATCCTGAATACTCACTTACCTGACATTCACTAACCTGTTATAGGATATATAAATAACATCTAAACAAGATATGCAGTCAGCCAATTCCCAGAGTGGGAAATCTGAATGGACATAGACACGATGCCCAACTCGACAGAATGGGATTTGGAAAGTTGATATTAGCAACACAACCGAACAACTCTGACAGATCGCTAAGTACACTATTGAACCACTAGTCATCAGGTCGAACTCCGTCTCCTCCACCAATTGCAAACAATCCGACCTCAATTGGCGATAGGATGGTGGGAGATTTAATTTTCGATTATAAATGTTCTGCCAACACCCCCGCCTTCTAATTGAGCCTCTAGAAGGAAACAGCGATGGGACGCTGCGGCGACTTTCCAACTGCTGAGTGAGGTTCTATGCAGACATCCACTGCTGATAAGGCTGCAAAGAGGTCACTTGCCACAACCACTCAGTTGCAGCCTCAGGATCTGCCTATCGCCTAATCTGTCGCAGTCCCCTCCCACCACCTATTTCTCCACACCTATTGGCGTGCAGTGAAGTACCGGATTCCGATTGGTCAGGGTTAGGGTTCCTCCGATTCGCACGGATAATAATTCTGTTTCGGACTAGCCCTCTTGCCGTTTTAGCCTTAGGTACCTCACAATGTTCGAGTAGTATCATATTGGTGCAATAACAGGTAGGTGCGGCGCAAGTATGCGATCGTACCTACCTCCAGTGAGAAGCCTTTATTCTGAACATTTTTCTTCGTCGAAGCATGTTAACGTGTTATCCCATGACCGACCAACGGGTATTTTTCACCACCATACTTGACTGAATGCACGCGTGAGCCGTGTCAAGGGCCACGGGGGGGAAGGAGGTTGGAGGTAGAGGTCTGGGCAAATGCATGTGTAACGTGGAGATGAATACCGATTGAGGGTCCTTTTTCATGATTCTGCTCCACTGGATCTCTGGATGCGAGGATACGATATGCCGAGAATATCCAATTCAAGGGAAGGCAAATATACCGGTATTGCCAGCGAGACGTTGCAGGGAAGTGGAAGGAAATAAACCTAATGTGAGGTGTGATGAGGTGGGTGGAACAAAAGATCGATGATACCGTAGCCTCGTTTTTATTTCCCCCCCTCCCAACGGGTCAAAAATCGAAAAGAAGGCTGAGAGTATAAGTATCTCAACCTCGACCGACCAGATCAGATAGATTCCCTACTACTACTTTAAAACAAGATCAGAAGGGCCCCTATTATTTTCAATTCACCCAACCGAAAGCTTGCTCGAAAACCTTGCGCGCGCAAATCAGGAAGGAAAGAAAAACACGGTTTAAAATGTATCACGTCGATGACAGAGCAATTGTCCCCGCAAGCTACCGCAACAGCAGGAGCCTCCCCGATAGCTACGCATTAGTCCACCAGAGTAATCCACGAGCGGGAGTGAGATATGCATCAGGAGGCGCAATGTACAACACCGAGCAACCAGGGGCAACAATGTACCGCCGTCAAACAATGTACCACCGAGCCCCGGTAGTATACCACCAGAACGGCCGGACGAGATACTACGGCAACCAGAATACCATGTATCACACTTCCCAAGGTGGACGATACCATGGTCAGGGAGCGCTATACCACAGGAATAGTAGGGCGTATCAGGGCGGGTTGGGCTCGGATGCATATACGGGGAGGAATAGCTATCATGAGCAGAGATACGTTGTTCCGCTTAACAGTCAACAGTTCGCCCCCCCCCCCCCCCAAAACACCCTTCCCCGCATCCGTAATTACTAATGGAATAATGATGTAGTCGGGACATCCCCGGGTACCACCCCCCTGCCCCCTCCCCCCGAAGTTACCACCGAAATCGCGATACCTATCGAAGAGAAGTCGTAGCGGATCACCTTTGCTGTGTTATTACTTAAACCTTCAGGAGAGGGGAGGATTTCAAAAAAACATTGTATCATAAAGTCTCTCTGGAACGGCGTCCTGGTTTTTTTTCTTTTTTTTTTCCCGTTTTTCTCCCCACTTTTTCGCAAGTCCTTTTCCGAAAGAAAAGAAAGAAAGAAAAAAAGGAAACGTTCATTGATAATACCCTTTCCTTTGTCAAAATTTCCTGGCGGGTTTTTTTCTGGTTTTTTTTAGTGTATGATTTTTTTACAGTATGATATAACATATGTGCTGTGTACCGAGAAGGAAATATATTATATATATTTATTTCGCGACAAGTCCGACTGTCATATCCACGGCGCAAATATAGACTAGTGTCCAAATACCCAATTGCGCTTGACCCTCGTGGCCGGGTCCCGTGGGATGCGGTATCATACTCGCAACGATTATTCAATGACTTGCCACTCCGCACTTAGAACATCACACAAACACGCAAACACACGCCGCAGATCCTTTATATAATGCCTCAACCTGCCGTCTTCCACTCTACCAAACACCTCCACCCGTGCGACTCGTGCACTGCTGGCTGGGGGGGGGGTAACCTATCATCAACATAGCCTATTCTATAACCCAGCACAATTCTAAATCCAACGACAGCGGAGATCGTTAATTTGAATGAGCCAGTTCTTGGAGCGCGGCGCAGTACCTGAGCAAGCGTATCATCATAACCCCCTATTTGTTGCTTGTTTGATTGGGATAGACACTTATTGGTATTGGTACGGTTAAGTCAAGATGGCCAGTTGTAGTCGAAATAAAGCTATATATGTCAAACCCCCATCCCAGATTACTCTAACTAATAGTCTTCTACATCCAAGTTAATTTCATACACGACTTGCTACATTTTTAGAAAAGGGGCCCGACACTTCCGGATATATGCACATTTCCGGGTGGTTATTGTCCCACCGCCTACCCACCGATTATCGTAGGCGTTTGAATGGGCTCTTGCAGATCGGTGACACAATCATGGTGCCACCGGCTCGAGTCGAGTGATACTATGTGCGGTTCCGAGGTACCGCACATTCCTCGGTAAGATACTTACGGTGCTCGCGCAGCAGCACGCATCCCTTCCTAAAGCTAAGCATTCAATACTGACTACACTGCAGTTGTCATCCTAGCCCCCATGATCCACGGGTTCACCATACCGCCATCAGACCACCGATACTCAATGCCAACCACAACCACCCCGGCCACACTGTCCCCCGGAATCCTGGGAAGCCGCCATCGTTCCCGACCTCTCTGAAGAATTATATCCCGCATCTAAATACCAGCGAAGCCAAAATAAATACACAGCAGATCCTGCCCTTCCACGCGCATCCAAGAGCTTAGGACCATGGTTTCGGTCTGGACAGGCTGCTAAATGGCCGGTGGTCGGAGTACCAATATTTACAAAACCGACTGTTTCCCCACTCAACGGGAAACACGCCCGAATATTACCGACACACACACCGTCCGCCAGTTAGCTGGCTAATTCGGGCTCTACTCAGTCCCTGTGGGGGAAAAGTGGTAGAACTTTTTTGGAGCATAATGTCGACCATACCCAGGTCAAAAAATATAGTACTCTGGCTGGCTGGCGGCTCGAACGGGAGTGCCGACGGCAACCCAAAAATACCTCTTGCTTTCAGGCGATAATCCGCTATTCTTCTTTTTACATCTTGGGGCCTAGGCTACTATTACCGGTACCTTTTGTTAGCAATTTCGTTGTTTTCCAAAGTGATGCAAGCCAGTTGATCATATCACACATACCACGCCGGCTCCTTCCAATCGCCTTCCAAGATCTTCCACAGATCTAGCTAGACTCAACCTACGCCCCTAATAATATCAGTATCTCAAGCCAAAACGCCCCCCGCCCTCCCCGGGCAAGTCACCACACAGTGCCGTACTAGCACTCTCACCTGCGATTCGAGCTTCGCTTATACCGGGGATGAAGAAAAACGGTGCGACACTACCCTCCTGTCGTCTGTCACCTGTGAAATCCTAAAAAACCTACTTCCCATCCAAAAATGTCGATACCCGACCAACCACAAGCCTTCAAACCCCAGCATGGGAAGAAAGCGAACTCGCAGTGGGTAATTGTCACCCAAAAAACGCACCCAACGATAACGAAGCGATATCCGATCATTGATCCCCCGCACATATACGAATCGTGACAGCGCTACACCACTACAGCCCGCACCCAGCACGCTTAGTAGAGCGCTATGGTATCCCAGACCAATAGCCGTACAGTACGGTACTGTACTGTACCAAAGGAGCATATCGCCTTACCCGGAGACGAAAAAAAAGCTCAAGGAACTCGTCTCCCACCCGCTAGTCATCCCACTTATGATACCGGTAGTGCCATTCGCGATCACGCTGCACTGCACTGCAGAGCATTTGCGTATGCTGACCGAGAATGGAAACCAGGCTTGAAAGTTCGGGTTATTGTAAAATAGGCAGCCTCGACCCGTCGTCACATTGAACATATTTCCGAATCCCAGCTTTTTACTTGCCCGTTTTTCCGGTATCAAGAGGGGTAGCCTCAGGATATTCCCGATCGTGCGCTCCTGTTCCGTTTCAAGCATTGACCAGGAATCAGCTTTTGCTCCGGAACAAAGGATAGCGTTGAACAGCCCGAGAATCACTGGGCGCAGCGCAGGTTTGGTCAAAGTTTTGTCACTTATTCGTAATTTTACTGCGCGCGGATGGGTTGTCAGGACGGGGTATGGTTAACGTGACATAGAGAAACCTGGTTCAAACACTTACAGCCACCGTATCGCAATGCCAACAGTCGTTGCCTGGTATAAAATCTAGCCGGACTAGCATTTTACACGCCTTAAGAGAAGTTGAGTCTTGATTGCTTTAATTTAGGTACCTGTGGGTGGTCGGCCACTGCCCATGTGCCGGGGACCGTGTTCTCTTAGGATCTGCGGTAGACGAATTTTGTCGCGGGAGACCGATCGTTAACCTAGCGTATAAACAGCAGGATTCCGCGCTCTCTTCCGGACATCCGCGGTCTCCCAACCCGTGGATCGGGGAAACGAACAATTGTGGGACATCATTCTGCGGTAGAGAGTGTTCATGGGTGAGGGATGGGAAGGAGTACATAGTGGAGGTCGATAGTGTAGCTATTGGTGGCTGTTATTCAGTGACGGCACAAACTCAGCAACCAGGGCAAACAAAGATGGCAAAATTTTAGGACCATGGCTTATAGCCGCCGATGGGACAGCGCTTACATGTCGCTATTCTTTTCCACCGGACTTGGCTGCATTGATAAAACCCTACTAAGGTGATTGCTAGCACCGGGGTTTGGGAGTTCAGAGGACCTAGAGATGCTATATTCTCATGGGATGATATCTGCTTTCATGTCGCAGCTTATATGATCGTTTAATACACACGGACTCAACGATCGTGCGTACTTGGATGGTGACGACTCGGCAAGACAGTAAGTAGTTGCCCTGCATGGCAAACGATTAGCAACTCACGAATCATAATTGACCTCTGGGTACCATTTGAGGTAGGCGAACGGGAAATGTGTTGACAAGGTAATATTAGGGGCACATGTAATTAGCAGACCAGTTCACCAGAAGGTTACTTCAACAATGAATATAATATCATGAGAGCGGAAAAACATATATATGTATCAAGAACAGCACATGAAGAGCACATAAGCATTGAAAGTTTTCACCATCCTAGGTACAGCAGAGCCCGCCACCACCTACACCCACTCATGACCCCCAACATAATTGAGAACCGTGCGTAGCGGGTCGCTAACACCATCTTACCACCACGGTTTATCCCTATAAGGATTCCTGCCGCCTTGTAGGTCCCATCCTCATTTACGAATACGCAACCTCCAGAAGCTCCAACGGTTGCGAAAACTTGAGCATCGGCAATGATGGTGATCTCGTGGGTGCTCTACTCATTATCCCAATGCTGTAGAGGAGCAGCATTGACATTCCCAGAGGTAGACCCAGTCGAATGCCCAATCTTCTCAACCTTCGCGCCGGGAACAAGTCGCTAATCTCGTTGATTGTTTGCCATTCATACATGTTTCCACCAAATCTATTGAGTTTCGAGGAAATTAGAAATCCGGGAAAACGGTGTACCATATGATAATTGGGGCCAGCCTAATTTACCTATGGGCAGCACACGAAAAAATGCACCAATCTAATCTCGTGTGCCAGGAGTGCTTGGCAGAAAAGCTGAAATGCGCTGTGCAAGTTCTTGATCGTAGAGATTAGCGTTCCTAACCGTCTAGCGCGCCCTACAAGGCCCCAGCGGGCTATAGTCCCGGGCGTCCTGGGCAGGGTGGGTGAGGAAGGCAGGGCCGGGAAATTACCTGCAGGTCCCGTCCGCATCCGAAGACGAACGGACCGGACGCTTGGGTTCACTTGATATCAGAGATGCAACACATCTTCCTCAGTGCCAAAGCGGTAGGTAGGCCACAACCGCTGCGGGCCGCTCTCCGCGCAGGACACCCCTTTTCGGTTCGTTCCGGTTGGCAGAATTGTGGAACAATGCACCCTTTTTTTTTTGGTGATAACTGAACCCGATTTTGTTGTAGTACCGGTAGTGCTCTGGCTCTTGTATCCCCCTCGTGATTGACACGGGGGCGCTCAGTTGGTGGGCAGGTCGTGGTATATCTCCTGTTGAAGCGGCTTGTCACCTCCATCGTCGATGGTGACCAGGTATATAGCGTGCAGAACTATATATAATACCAAAAAAACTTCCCTGGCGCCGATGTCCTCCGCAAAAACCCACCAAAGCTTCCTGCCCCACTCATACTTCCTATCACATTGTCAGATACCGCACTTTGGAAACAGAGTGAAAACAAACTTTCAATCCCCACAGAAAGCGCTGTGAGGCTAATTTCGTCAGCAACGTGTATCGGGTCCATGGCGCATGTTGCCTCCGGTCAATTGTTTAGAAACAATGCAACTCGGGGCGAAGGCCATGGGTTCCCTGTACTAGTACAGTACAGTACAATAAAATCCAAGGAATTAGCAAAAATAAAAAATAAAATCCACGGACTCGACCTAACAAGATGGCGTTGTTAGAGTACAGTACTTGTGATGATTTCTAGGGGTCCACGAGTCCCCGTCTTATATCGCGCCACTGGGAAACTATTTCCCACTCGCCCACACTATCACTCACGGTTTTCCGTAACGACATGGCCGCCTTCAAAGTTCTTCAACTAGCGTCCTTTGCTACAGTCCCAGCCATGACAAACGAACTTCCAAATACGCTGTCTGGCTGAGTGCGCGGTTGGGGGGGGGCTCAGACCGATAATTTACCGCGCATTAAGCATAATTTAACCATCTGTGCCACAATGTCATTTTAGATTCGTCTTGCTTTTTTTTTTGCCCCGGTGGTGGGTTGCCGGGCCGCTCTGCCATCCGTAGTGATTTGAGAGCTGTGCTGGGGTCGGTGTCGTCTGGTCGACCTTCGGGCTTTGGCTACTCGAGCACCGTACGGTACTTAATGCGTAGGTGGTTGAGCAGATGTGCTGCAGGGTGAATGGGGGTGTGGTGTTGGCATACTTCATGCACGTTTCTCTCTAAGGTCCTCGAACTGTGGCATTGGTGATCTTGCAGCTAGTTGGTCAAAATTTACGATTGGGGGAATAGGAGGCAACGAGGCAAACAGGTTAATATAACTACTGCGAGTATTTACTTAATATTCGGGTGCGGCGCGGTACTGTAGGGTGGTTTTGGCAAAGTTCTAGGGTTCAACGGGATCAACATATTGGGATCGTGTAAGTTAATGCGGTGCTTGCTTCTGATATGCTTTTCACAAGCGGGTTGCTGCAGCGTGCGAACGAGTGATTGAAATATGGTAGTCTTGATAATCTAATTTATTTTGGTTAACGCGGAAACAGCGAAAGGAACTCGCAACCATAAGACAGTCTGGACCGAACGCTATGCTAGCTATTTAACTCATCAGGAGAAAGAGAGAAAGAAAGAAAGAAAGAAAGAAAGAACCAAACTAAAAACCGAAGAAAGCCGCCGGTCGTTAAATACTCGTACGTGTGGTATGCAGCACAACTCATAATCACCATCGCTCATGCCGATATTCCACACTACCACCACCGCAAACAAAAACCCTCTAGATCGGCACCAACCTCACACCCCCAAACCCCCACCCACCACAAATCTGCCCATCATCCCCTTCTCCATCCCCCCCATTCCTCATCAAACAGCTAACCACGACCCCAACACACCCAGCCGCACAAACCTCCACCTCCGCATCTCCAGAAACTTCAAACCACCCGCTGTTACCACTCTGTTCACTCCTCACAGCCCATTCCTGAGCGGTAACCCTAATTCTCGCTGCATCCGGGTATAGCAGCGCGGGAACCACGTCCAAGGAAATGTATCTATCGACGAAGCGATTCGTAAACGTCTTTGCATCGTAAGGTCTCCCGGCCGAGAGGATCAAGTCGCCTGGAGGGCGAAGGGGGGATGACGAAGATACGGGTATCGAAGAGCGGAGGATGAAGCGGGCCTTGTAACGGCCTGTGGGCACGCCGGAAATTAGCGTTCGGAGGTCTACTGATGAAGTGAGGGCGCGGTTGCAGGTTAGGATTTGTGACTCGGCGCGGGTGCCGTCGTGGTCCAGGTCTTCCAGGACAGGTATTGGACCTGCACGGCTGTTTCCGGGCACGCCCGGAAGGGATAGGCTTTCTAACGACCAGCTCGCAGCCTTTTCCCCTGCGGGGATTGTGGTGACGGTGAACCTCCCAGCAGAACACTCAACAACTCTCCTCTTAGTCGAAATCCCAACGATAGTTCTAGCCAACTTCTGCCTGCGTATAACCTGATCAGGATCGTCCAGGTATCGCCTAGTAACACTTCCCATTTCGTCTTCCTTCATCCACTGCTCCAAAGAAATCTCGCCAAGTCCCGAGTCAACATCCCAGCGGTAATACTCTGTTTGTGCATCCCTATACATCCTCTGCACCTCATTATCAACTCTCGCCGTGCTAGTCGCCATCGCCACAAGGGCACCCGCGAGTGACAATTCGCGATGAAGGCCGAAGGGTAGCCAACGCAATCCACGCCTTATAGCTGGGATGGTTTGTAAACCTGTACCGATGCTGACGATTACGCCAATTTCTCGACCAGGCCAGCGGGTTTTGGCCTCAAAATCGATTTCGGCGCACGGGGAGTTATAACCGAGACCGCCGTCAATGTAGGTGATCTTGGGCGTGCCGAACGTGATCTCGTCAAAAAAGGTGGGGGCTGCCGAGGTCGCTCGGAGGGCCTGCCAGATTTTAGTTTTACGATCGTCGGGATCGTTTGTGTGAAACAGTTTCGGTACGCCAACGGCGTGTTTGTAGACTGCGACCACGATGCCATGACAGCCCGGCTTGGGGGTTTGTGGACTGTGGGTGTTTGGATCTGGCTTAGAATCCTGTGCGGGTTTGAGGGAGAAATTGCTATTTGTAGACGTTCGCCAGGTTTTCTTCTCGATTACATCCCGGACACCCCCACTATGGGTTACTTCTAGTTTTGTGAGTTGGCCGGTATCCACTCGACGACGGATTTCCTTCTCACGTAGCGTGAGCGTCTCGTCGAACATTTTCTCCTCCGGGTCGAAGCTATTCTCGACCAACACCCGCTTGATAGCTTTCTCCAATACTGCCCCTGAGAATCGAGCCCCCGCAAATCGGAGCGGCGTTCCAAATATCTTGATTGAACGGTCTTTGCTGAATATTTCCTCCGCTAACTGAGTGTAGATATCTATACATGCCGGTACGTCCAGGCGCAAACGGGAGAGTAAAATGGCAATAATTCCACCGGTAGATGTCCCGCCGATGATGTCAAAGTATTCGCACGGCTTCAATGGCGTGTCATCGTCCTTTGGGCGAATATGCGAAGATTTCTCCTGCTGCGATATGGTGCTCATAATGTCCTGTAAGATCATCAGCGAGCTCAATCCGCGGACTCCCCCGCCATCAAGCGAGAGGATTCTAAGTGGTGGTAGATTTGACTCGGCCATTGCGTGCGATAACAATTTGCGCGTGGATTCGCGAAGAATGAAGAAAAGGCGCGGAGAATGCAGCTCCTTTTTATTGCTCGGCGTAGCTGTTGTACCCGATTTTCGACCAGGAGCAACTCGCATACGGCTTTCAGCCTTGCCAAGCAGTTCCCACACAGCCTTAACAGTATGTCTCACAAATCCGTGCAAGGCGAATCCGCCACAGTTAGCATTAGTGCCAGCAATGCTGGAGCGACCCACCATCAGATGAAACCAAGTTCTGGTAGCGGCACCGTATCGCCTCACTTGTACGAGTACTGTACCTGGAAAGCATAGTCGGTATTGCTATTCTTAGCTATGCGTCCTAGCAGAGTCCAAGCAGGATTTATTAGTGAGAGTTCTCAATTCGTCCCAGAGTTAGCGTAACCATGGTACTAGTACTACCGGTGTGGTACTTGTAATTGTTCGGCCGCAAAGTTACACAAGGACAAGGCTTACCGGTATGCCATTGCGAATCCCAGCGGGGAATACCGGTACTATGAGACACATAAGATGGCACTAAAGCTTTATCTAGGGCGACGATCTGATGACTATACGAGTTGTGCCTTCGAGGGCCTAGGATCGAGTGATATTCGATGGTGAACTGTTGACAATTAATCAGAGTGGAGAAGGGAAACGAGAATAAAGAGAAAGCTGCTATAATCGACCAGGATTCCCCTCAATCAGCTAACCAGCATTGTAAACTAGCTCTAACACGTCCCCCTCACACAACATCACCTACAAACTGCTTCACTAGGGACAAACAAAAAGCGCAACCTACAAGCTCCTGAAACACACTGCTAAGCTCAAGAATTTACAAGATCCCGAGTGACACTTCGCGCCCCCTAATATCATCGAGCAAGAAGCTGCAGTAGAAATTTACAATGCTTAATCCTTAAAATACATAAAACCAAATTCTCTCTTCCTCTTGCTAGCTTCGCATTTCTTCGCACCCCACTCCTTCGTACCTTGACATCCAACCACCACCCCCAACACTCCTTCCATCTTCCCCTCCATCTACAACATAGTAGGACTCCTCTCTTTGAAGCGTAGTTTCGTGTCCCCCTCCGCCTTCGCCGCACCCATTTCCCTTAACCGTGGACATCCGGTCCTGCTGCCCGGAGCTCTTCCGCGGTTTCCAAGCCGGACATTCTACCAACCATCTCCTAACCCGTCGTTCACTCACCGGCTCAACCCCCCTTCTTCTTCTCCCAAAATAAAAATGGGGGGGGGGTAAAGTACGCTCAGAGCGCCATTGATCCACTGCGCATGTCCCTTCACCCGTAGGGGAACAGAAGACATGCTGGAAGAAGACATTTTTTGATACTGATAATGCCACGAGGGTGTGGTGACTTTGAGTCGGGCGGGACTGCGCAGTTTCAGTCCTGCTCTCGCAAGTGTTGAGTTCATTTGATCTGTCCAGAAGGCAAGCGGGTTGAAGGGGGAGTTCTAGGGGTGTATGCTGCCTCATTACTCCCCCAGAGGGTCGTAACCGCTGTGGATATTTGGAGGGGTTTGTTAAATTTACATCGTGGTGGGGGTGCGTTTGGTGTGTCGTTGTGACGTGCCCGGGTACGGCCCAGCCCCGCCGGGTGGGCGGAGTGGTTGATGTCATTGCTTAGCTTCTCCGGGGTGATGTCAGGAATATTAGGTGACTGGAGCGCTGACATCCTGGACTGGGCAGGCAGTGACAAGCTTTTGGGGGGTCTTCGGTATCGTGAGAGTTTATCGTTTGTAGTGAAAAGTCTCGGGAGAGTTGCCTGGTGGGGCTGAAGTACCGGTAAGGGGAACGGGTCCCTTAACTAAATTCAACATCTATCATATCAATTGCATCGTACCAATTTAGTAATAACCCTTGTCTTGGCCATGCGATATCCGAGTTGATTGACAAGCTGAGGACCATAAGGGGTGATACCGGTAGTCCTCTACGAGTATAGTACGAGTAAGAACTCCAAAGGGCTGAAGAAACTCTATTATGATACCAGACCGCTTCCCTATTTTTTCGGTGAGCCAGCAGCCCTGCATGCTTCCCGGTATGAATCATCACGAACTAATGAGAGCTTACCAGCACCGAATAGGAAAGCAAAAGCTAAACTACCCACCCAACGTGCCCAATAAGTTATTGGCCTACCGGCGCAACTATAATAAAGGCCTTACGCCGGTCACCTGAACGCCTTGGCAATTGTTCCGGTCTAGGCTCTGGGATGCAAACTATGGTGTTTACAATTTCCGAGCAGAAGAGCAAGACAGGGGACATTTCCGATACCAGAACCCTTGTCAAAGATTGTGACCGTAGGTATTCGCGCATGGTCATAAAGGGTGGAAAACTTTTGGTGGCAAAGTAGGGATTATGTTGATCGATCCATAAACACAGTGGAATGAAACATGGCTTTGTAGAGGTCAGAAAAATCCAGACCAGTTGCAATTGCTGCTTACTTTCCTCTAGGGATAGGAAATGGAGATTCTGAAGGACCACTCAGAGTCTCAAGCAATCCCTATGGGACCCAGTCTGCACTGAACCCAATTTCGTGATTCTTACCTCACACTACCCCGGCATCCTCCTCCAGTTTGTAATACAATCCACTCGTACCTGGTATCCACTCCGGGTTGCTCGCGTCACCCAGGCCTTGTGTTTTTCCAACTATTACTCGTACCGACCAACCGCCAACTGCCCCATGGGATCTTCCCGATCCGTTTTCCCGTCCCTGATGACCGTGCGCGAGCACTCCAAACCATAAAAAATAAGCTCACCGTCTTCCCAGCAGCAGACGGCCCCCATGCGGCAGGGTTCCCCCCGACCAGGGGGTGTAAATATCGTACTCGTACTGGTTAGCCCCAAGAGTCTGACTGCTCCAGGGAGTCAAAGTTAAGGCGAAGCGAAACGAAAGCTGTCGTGCTGGCAGGGTTGAGTTGCCAGAATGGGATATGTTGCCTGGACCACGTTTTTGTCGCAATGAAGAATGACCGCTGCCCCGGGAATGTTAAGCATATCTTGACGACGAGAATTTCCGGAATGCGGGCCGATATGGAAACCGGTATGGAATGTTGGAATCTTTGTTCTGCTATGGCCCGAGTTCGGATTTCGGAATTTCCAATGATATGGCGAGTGAGTCGTGATGATAACGCCGCGAAAGGCTTGCTGTGCTGTTTCGGGGCCGAATAGACTGGTCTAATAGCACTTGCGAGCAATCGTTTAAAATACCATGAACTATGATACCACGGCAGGGGTGAAGTTCCGAACTATGACCTCTCACATCCCAATCCGGCCACCGGAAAAATAATCATTATTCGGGACTCTAGAAATACCTTCATAATGCACCCGGAAAAAAACAAAAAACAAAAAAAACATAGAAATCATGAAAAAAATTCAAAAATAGATCGAGGTAAGGACTAATTTTTGATAATTTTCCCAGTTGCAAGTACTTGTAATTATAGGAGCTTGGCGCTGTTATGATGACATTGTTTTAAAAATGGTGGACGGTTGTGTGGTTTGGTGCCAAGACACTTTCTTTAACTGGTGGCTTTAAACTTCACTTCCGTAATAGTACGAGTACCGGTACAGTACTGTACTTGCAGTTCATGGTATTTTAAAACACTTGCTGGGGTTGTATCATCAATGCAAACGCCAAAATTCAAGCGGTAACTCGGAGCAAATATTGCATACTAAGCGTCCCGGATTTCATTTGGAGTGCTGTAATTACGGTATCCGAGGGCAGTCAAGAGCAGACTACCTAGAATAGTTCTGCCAGTACTGCGGCTCCAGATTGCAGGTGACATAAGTTAGATACAATGTACAAGTACCGGTGTATGAATACGAGAATATTCAAGCCACATCTACAAAAATACATCTTGCTCCTTCCAGTTATTGGTATTATTTACGAAAGAACTCATTCGTGATCATAACCCGACCGAGCTAGAGAAGAAAAAAAATCTAAAGCCGTCCATCTTAATTAAATACTCAAAGGGTTCCGTGGCGTCAACTTGTACGAGTATTTTCTCCCAGGAAAAAAGATCGGGCAAAAGATCGGGCAAGGAGCGGTTTGATACAGCAACCCAGAAATTACATATGGGGTGGGAGGACTCTTGGCTTCTTTTTGACACATTTCTAGGTATAGATGTACCATTCTCTCTCTCTTCCCAATTATGGAACCCCCGGGAAATCCCAATATTTCGGAGAAAGGTCAAAAAATGCAATCCTAGGGAGCGAAAAGGCCGGCAACCACCGTTTGTGTCCCGGTAATGTGGTAGACCAAATATTCCCGAACCCAGAGGACTTGTAGTACTGTACCGGTACCGCTACTCGTACCAGCCAACATTTAACCAAGTTACAACCGTTTTAGCCGTGTATTTATGCTGATGGAAACCTCCGTACTTGCACCACCGACGCAAGTACAGTACCGGTATGCCATAAAGAACATAGCCACATCTTGTTCTGAGAGAATAAAACAACATCGCATTTACAACAAGCAAGGGCGCGCCTGCGCCACACCTCGCCTTATTTCGGATGTGGCACAACGGCACGGTTGACTGATAAAGTTATTCCTATCCCATAAACTCTGGAGCCATCCCAGTGGGTTTTGGGATCTGGAATACCAGCCTATTTGGACAACCGGGAGCTGAATATCTCCTTTCCATCATGGCCATACTGAGAAGTGTAAATTTTGAGGTATTCTGTCTCTTGCGCATAACAAGATTTGTCTTATCACGATTACCTAAATAGTCTAGTGTTCCAAATTTGAAAACAGACCGGAATGTTACTACAGCCTATTATGGAGTAATTACCGGTAATAGGTCGGATTAAGCTTTGTTGGTGTAAGGATCTACTACGAGTAGAACCAAGAGTGGTTAGGTTCTGCCCTAGATAACCACAAAAGGACTCATCATTTTCAACAAAAAGACCTACCCCACCAATCGCACTCGAGTACAACTGCCCTGTAAAGCAGTGGTAGCCTGGCTATTTTGTGACATTCGGGCTCGACCAAAGAGCCTGTTAACTGGGAGTTCGATCCCGACCGCAAATTCAGCCCATCACGCGAGCCGGAATGGCACTCCTCCTTGCCGATCCATCCCACATTCTAAAAACTACCCTGCATCATTCACCACCCACACAAGTCCAACGCATTACCCAAGTGTTGTGTTGCCGTGCCCGTACCCGAGTAAGGGCGGAAACTTGGGCTGTCTCATCGTGTGCCGCAAATATGTCATTGAGCCTTCTTCTCTCGTAAGGTCGAGATATCCTGCCTTCCATTGTCCCTGAAGGGGGAAGGAGCTCCGTTTTTGCTGTTGTTGCTGACCCCCTCCACCCCAGAGAAGGGAATGTTAGACTTATTTGTACCGGTACCGGTACATAGTACACTGTCCAGCTGTTCGGGTTTTCACGGTATCCGCAAATGCGGGGGAAATGGAAGACCATCCAAGCTCTGTGCGTTGTTTCTGGTTAACTAATGACCCTGATGGGGGTGGAACCATGGGTACCGTATGATATCATACCAAAATGCACGCAGAACCCGAACCATCAAATAACAAAAGTAAAGGAGGAGGAGGTTGAATTTCGTATCATATGCCGTGAACCAGATCGATTACGATCCCGATTGTTAGTGCACTTTATTCTCTTTGTTTTTGTGTTCGCTTGGTATCCATCGAGTCTGGGGAATGGGCTGAAGGTTTATTCTTGGGTATTGTATTCGGGTGCGGTGATAAGAAGGTGTTTGTGGGGCGGGAAGGAGTAGGAGGGGCTTTTGCTGCTATGGCCGCTTTGTTACTTGTAGTGGCTTGGTGGTGGTGGTCGCGTGACTAGGCTTTGGGATTCCCATCTTTTATGTGATACCGGTAACCGTGCGGGGTTATGGAACCGCAAAATCTGATTAAAACGAGATCGGGCTACGACCGAAATGGTGAAAAAGGGGAGTCCGCCACTGTGTGGCGTCGAAGATCAATGGTTGAGGTTGAGGCTTAATCTCAACTTCAAATCTCCTGGCTAGCTATGGTGAAGAATTGGGTATGTATCATACCGAAGAACACGGAACCTAGAAACTCCAGATGAGCGCTACTATGGGTAAGCACTTGGTTCTCGTTCACGCGAGCATTAACGACA